AACATAGTTTGTATTCGAAATTGGTATATGTATGATATACGTGCAGTCGAAACTAGTGAATATTTGTTTTCTATTTAGTTAGTAAATATAATAACATATAATTTTTTATTCCGGTGACAATTTGTGTTGGTTGTTTGCTGTTATTTAAGCCCGGTTTACATTCGAAAAGTACAATTCGAATCCGGAACTACACTGAAAACCGTCAGGAACCACGTGAGAACAAGAAGCCCATCCCATTTAGGGGTCGACCATTAAAAATCATGAGGGTGGCTGGATGATTGAAAGCAAGAAACTGAAAACTCATGAAAATGCATGTCAGGTATTGCAGGAAAACAAAACGTTAGCAAATTCAGGAAAAATAAAACTGTGTACAAACAAACACCAAATAAAGAATAAAAAGCACAGATCACGATCTTCCATTTTCATAATTTCAAATGTTTGACCACTTTAATATCGCGTTTGTGAAGAATATTGCTTAAACACGGCTATAGTATATGTTTCGATATAAATAACCAATTTCAAGTGACAATGAGGCTTGTTGAAAATCAAACGGATGCATATTGTTCAAACCACGACCGAGGGAATGGGGTAAGTATGCACGTAGCAAAAATACTTACACCATCGCAAGGACGACAAAACATGACGTTTGACCTCTACATGCATGTCACCTGATCAGTGACAACGCTGTAAAAACTATGGTAACCATGTGCAAAAGGTCAATGACTGATAGCTATTGAATTAACGTTATATTTATTGAAAAATGTTAATTACTTATACACTAAACGATTATTAAATAAATTAGATTTATTTTATTTCTGGCCAGCGCGGAAATACATATTATTACTATTATACCCCATGACGGTGACAGCCAATCAGATTTGCGTATTAGGGTAGACATTTTCCCGTGTCTACTCACTGACTTAATTGTATGTCTACCTCCACACCAATAACTTATCACAGGGAAACTCGATACGCGACAATATTCATGAAATGACTAGTTATATATTTCAATATTGACTATTTTATTGGAGAGAAAACTAGGATTTTGTTGAGATTTCGCATGAATTTGGAGTTTCGCTAGCGCACCTCACCAACGCACTTTGAGACACACGATCTACGGCTGCACAATGTAAGAAAGGAACTAAAGAGACTATGTTTCCATATTTTATTCTAGTAAAACAAAAGAATAGTTGAATTGCCAAAAAATGCGACATGAATTATGTACAACGTCAAACAAACTAATGTAAAACTAATTATTAATTCAGTCTGTCAGTTATGTACATATACTTATATATATACTTAAACTTTTAGCATATAACACATTTAAAACTGTATTTGGTCAAAATATCTAAACATTGTTGACAACATATCAATCAGAACTTGTCTTTGTAAATTTCGTGTCTCTGCACACAATTTGCGCATTGAAGCTGATAGACCATTACATAATGAAAGGGCTGACATAATGTGTGTTTATTGTAACCTTAACCAAGTTGAGGATGAATTTCACTTTTGTTTGATTTGCCCATTCTATAATGCCCTGAGAATAAACTATATCCCAGAGAATGTTCTTATTTTCCCCACAATTGACAATTTTTTTCATTTAATGAACACCACTAATGTGACTGTTGTTAGAAACCTTGCCAAATTTATTTCCTATGCTACTAAGAAACGTAACTTGAATTCAACAAGTTAGATTTTTAGTATTATTGTAATGCAAGTTTCTGTTTATTTGTGTTCTGGGTTGTTATAATGCAAATTGTAGCACAAACAGTTATTAAGCGCTCTGTAATACATTCCTGACATATGTTACTTGTACTTATAGGCCGGTGGCCTATATATAAATATATTTAATTATTTACTTTAATTATATTTACTAATAACTCCTACGTTTTAACTCAAATGCAAATAAATACACCATGCTTGCAACTTATGGGTTATAAATAAATAAATAAATATATGTTGCAAAGCAATGTGTACGAGCTATTAATAAATAAATAAATAATGCGCTGCGCTTGCAACGTACAATATATTAGTAATCATAAATAAACATTCAATAATAGTTGAATAGTTTTCATCGTTTTCTGATGACATAGACACTATATACTACAAGCAGATCGTCTATTTTCATTGAACACCCCACGCTATATACGAAAATCAACTAAACTATACCTAACGGAAAGTATATTGCAAAACATATCTAAAATTCAAGAACTTCACTGCGCATGTGCAACGACCTCACCCGGGAGTTTTTGCGAATTGAAGATTTTTCGCGTTAACACCGGGCTTCAAAATAGCAATTGCAAGTCGGAAATTGCGTACGAATTACGATATTCATTGTGAAAAATGCGTTATACGTTTGAAAAATAAGATCTTTGTACTAGGTACGGATGAATAAAATAGCGGATTACATCTTACACCTTGCTCATGTCTACGAAATTACGTTTTTTACTAATTTAAATTACATGCATGCTTACGACAGTTGATTACAGCTTACAAAACTACCCCTTGCTGACCCTCTATAACAGATCCCGGGTGCGCACAGGGTGGCGGGATGTGTTTGTAAAAAATAGTTCTTCGTCACTCTGAAGGTTAAAGCCGCGTCCATGAAAAACATTCCGTTTTTCATTGTCAATATACCATTATCAAAGATTGCAGACAGAAATTTCTCTCAGCTCTCTTTATTTATGGGCCACTTTTCCAAAATTTTAGTATTTTAGTATTTAGTATCTATTCATGGAATTCACTCCAGTTGTGACAAGTTTATCTTTTCCAATTTTGCTTTGTTTGCTTTTTTATTTTAAATCTGTTTTAGTCTTGTAGTAATGTCATTTGCTCTTTTGGACATTACCTTACTTTTGTTTATGTACGTTCCAAATAAAATGTTCTCTGCAACATGATTTTTGTTTAGTTTATTTTAGTCTTAAATACCATCCTTCCAGCAACCCTCTGCATACCTTGGAAGTGTGGCACAGACGAATGAATATATCACATGATCACCACGTGATCTGTCTGAGAGCATGACCCATGACACAGGTTCATACTGACTTTTCCTGCAGCTCTGCCACTTCACAGCCGGTAAGTATGAGTGTGGTTTGTTAACTACCGCGTCACTACCAACTTTCATGTAAACGACTGAATTAATAGTATGTTATTGCAAATATGAGATGGAACCCATGGACGCCGATATAGGTCACACGTACTGTGACCTACAATTATGTGCGTAGTGCGTTGTATTTCACGATGTACATTCACAGTCTTTGTTAAAACATACACAGTGTTGATATAGATACAGCTTTAAAGTATGCTTTTATACAGACATTCACATGTCTGCATGGTGAGCACACAATGACTTTATTCTTATGTCCACCTCTGCCAATGCTACAGATGGGGTTGACGTGGAACATCCGGGTCATTTAAAGTTTAAAGCGGGGTCGTCACCTGTGGATGCCGTAGACGGCCATAGCGTGCCACTGTTTACGATAGGCACACATGTTCCCAATGTACTAAACAACCCACATGACTTGGCAATATTTAGGGCCAACGATCAAGGGTCACAGGAAGTAAATATACTATTATGTATGTTCACATGGACAGGTCGTCTTTAAAACTTGGCACACATGTCTCTTTCGTGATTCAAATGCTTGTTTTTAAGGTCAATACAAACAGTATATATGTGCCTAAACTGTGGCTATTGTTATGAATATGTCAGTGTTGTTGTGAATATTGAAGAAATCTAGCTCAGGTTGGCATCTCCTCTGTGTTTCATCCACGATTTGTAAATTATATGCTGTGCCAATGTAGTGTAGTATTCTGTCGCGTTTCATTATGTGCATTTTTTGGCAAAAATAATCTCAAAACCATCTAATTATTTCGTTTTCTGGGGAGTATGCATATACATTGTTTCATGGTATGATGAAAAAATAACGTGAATAAAAAAATAAATAGTAATAAGGCACATACACAAACTGAATGACAAACAGCAACCTCCATTTATTAGCTCCGCTGTCGACTTTGTCGAGCGGAGCTTATCATATGAGTGATTGTCCGTCGTCCGTGTCAATGTTTTACTTTTTCGACTTCTTCTTGAAAACTATAAGACTGGATGCTTTGATACTTGGTGTATATGTACCTTTGGCAGACCTCTCTTAGATTTGTTCATTTCATGATATCTTCAATTCTCTAATTTTGGTAAACATTTTTGTCATTTTTGGTCAAAAGTGATATTTTCGACTTCTTGTTAAAAACCGCAAGTCCAATTGCTTCGATATTACATATATAGGTACTGCATGTTGACCTCTCAGATTTGTTCATTTCATGATGATATCTTTAATTCTCTAAATTTGATGAATATTTTTGTAATTTTTGGTAAAACGTGATATTTTCGTTGAAAACCGCAAGTCCAATTGCTTTGATACTACATATACAAGTACTACATGGTCTCTCAGGTTTGTTCATGATATCGATATCGTGATGATATCTTCAATTGTCTATATTTGATGAATATTTTTGCAATTTCTTTACTTAATAGGGTTTGCCGCCACTCAAAATGACCCAGAAAAGTGTACGTCGTATTGCTATATGGACACATGCCCGCAGTATATCTACAACCCTCTCACAGTGCCTTGCTGGCAGAGATGACACTATCTGCTTCCACGAACCATTTGGTGTACCGTATTTTGCTGGAGCAGAGGACATTTTGGTGAATCCAAAATTTGTCGAACTCGGTCAGAGCTACACCAAAGTAAAAAAGATGCTAGAGAAAAACTACGAAGGAAAAGCCGTTGTTGCATTTAAGGATATGGCTTCGTATATGTACGGTAAATTCAACCACATACCGCAAGGATTCACGTACGTCTTTTTGATTCGGGAGCCAATACGAAGTATACATAGTCTTGCCGGTGTAAAGAATGCACGTAATACAAATGGGAAACAGTGGCTAACGTTTTTGCAATGGGACAATAAAGGTTTGTATCGTTTATATCAATATGTCACGGAAGTACTGAAACAAGAGCCTATAATCATAGATGCGTATGACTTGTCTCACCATCCTGAGAAGATATTAAAGATACTGTGTCGGAAGGTTGACATTCCATACACGGAAAGTATGCTTACATGGAGACCTCGTAATATGGACGGATGGCACAACCACTGGAAAGAAAACAAGTTACGTGAACAGTTATTCAGAGCCGCACTTGACAGTACTTGCTTTAGACCTCTGCCTGATAAAGATGAGTTGATGGATGCATCTATTTTATCGCACGAAGATAAAATCGTTCTTGAAAAATCTACTCACGTTTATGAAATTTTATACAAGATGCGCATCAAACCAACAGACTGTGATGAAATATTCAAATCTAGCAAACTATAATCGGTGATGTAAGGACATCTAACAAACGTGGCGTCTCTTCTAGCACTGTTAATTGCTAATGGTACACTCGCCCCTCAGATATGATTATGTAAACATCACAACTATGGTTTACAAATCAGTGCACTGATAGACACTGGGCAAATGTGTTTGTTTCTCTGCTAGACCAAGAAGTAGAGTAATATAAATCACCTTTCATTATTTTGACTACACCACCTTTGAATATTACGTCTAAATGAGATACAAAGAAAGTGTGTGGTTGTAACCCAAATGTGTTCTTGCAGTTACTAATCACGCATTTACAATTTTTTTTTCAATAATTCACTGAGCGCTTGTTATTTCTATTATCTAGTAGGCTTACTATTGAATAGTTCTGATCTATCGTTTATTTTGTAATGAATGTAAGCCGCTACTGAACCGTTCAATATTATCTTAACAGATGTATACATTACACACATTTTAGTAAGTAAACCTTCATTAAGTTTGGAATAAGTCGGTAAGATTAAATAGCATGCAACCACAATCGTTATTAAAGTGAAGGAGTTTCAACCCGGAAATGGTAAACAATTAAATTTCTTTTCATTTTAACAACTGTTATCACTTTGTGCCAAAGATCAACAAAAACGTATTTTCATGATTATATATATATATTCAATATACATTACGTTTTACTCCTAATACATGAAAATCTATGTTGAATCCCCTCAAAAATGAATAATCATTTTTACTAATTTGATTGTTAATGACGTCATTTGCTTACATTTTTTGAAAAGAGCTAGTGATCTACTTGTAGAACAAGCATCGGTTTATTTACTTTGAACACCTGCTTTTATACAGAATAGCAGCATTAGTATTTACCACGATCACAAAATGTCTCAATATAGAGTTTGTATTGGCACATCTTCGCAAACCAAGATTAGTTTTTTCGACCATCGCAGATGCAGATTCTATATAGTTAACGTTCATTTGGATATGGCAATACAAGAGGTATATACATTGTCCAATTACATTGCTCGTTACAACTGTACAAAATACGTCTAAAGTAGAAGATTTGCTTCCAAGCCCGAGATTAGGCTGACATTTTACAATCAGTTACTAGAGGGCTGAAAAATTAATACACACTTTTACTGGATCAAGTTATAGCCTGCATAGATAGTTGAACAAATGTAGTTTTTCCATCACTACGTCACATACCGAAGACACCCAGTCAGGGGAAACCGGAAAAGCTGACAACAAATATATCGGCGATTCTTCGTTATCGGAAACACAACGCTACAGTTTGTTTATGACCAGTTGTCACATGTTACACCAACTCTGATTAGCTGCATACTTTAGAGGAGCCATCAATCCGATATATGCATTTTACGAGATCTAATTCTCGATTTCTCGTTATAATGCCCCGTACGGATTCGTGGGGTTATGTTTACATCAATCTCGCAAAAGTGACGATGTTTTCATTGTGTCATGAAATGTGTTTTTTTTCCATAAATTAAAAGGTACCGAGGTTTCGTAAAAAAACACCATAACTATTGTTTTGTATGGCCGATTTCCTTTATTACATATCCTAGCAACATACCACGCCCATGGTAACCATTCTTAGAATTTCCTTTATCACTATATGATGCTAAAATAGGATGGTGTACCATATCCGTCCGTCCTATTATTCTTAATATAAGTTGGGAATGATGGAGGTCACATGTTATTATAAGTTATTACAATAAAACCATTTCAGATACAGCTAATGCTACCAAGTGCATAGGATCAACGGTAATCGGAGGGGTGAGTTGGGTGTGCCCTGGCAACCAAGTGAACATTCTTAGCAACCAACAAAAAGCAGCATATGCAATATTTGTCTCTGTTCTGAATAAAAGGGTCATTTTGCCACCTAGCAACCCATAGCAACAGTTTTAAATGATATATAACTATATGTTCTCGAGAAATACAGTTCATACTTAGATCATATATTAATTGTCTTATGGGGGGGGGGTAAGTCTCTAGCACCCACTACATATTTATTGCAAAACGATTATTGCTGCTAGCAGCTATAATATTATTACTGAAGTTGTTCTGTTGCAGATGTATATATTACTTATAAACTGTATTCTCAGCATTGCTAAAAAAAACTTTTATGCGAATTCGTTAATGTAATATTTGGCGTTAGTGGAAAATATGAATTATTTTACATCTCAATGGCGATGATGAGGAAGATATATATTAATATTATATTAATATGGTAAAGAAGAAAAAATCAGACTCTTATTACAGTCGACTGTATTTGCCGTGCGTTAAAAGATTTCTCAAAAATATTCATTAGATCGTGTTATAAGTAGTCCGGTTCTGGAAGTCCTATCTCCAAGTAGTCCTGGAAAACGTCCGGGGAGGAGTGTGTTTCTTGCCATTCATACGCGTCGGGATTTTCTCGTAGAAATTGTTCGTAGCGAGACGGGTAATCCGAGACACTTTCAGAGTATCCATCTTTACCTATAGGATCGAACGGCTCTGGCAATGGTCGTGCAAGTTGCCAATTTTTTCGTCGAGGGTCGAATATGTTTGAACTCTGTGAAACAAAATACGCTTATGGTAAATACAACAAAGACCACGCGTGTGTACAATATATAAATACATATTCAAGTATCGCACCGCTTTCCACGTACTACAAAATATATATGCAATATTTGACACATAATGAACATTCAACAAAAATTCCACGCATTTATGGCAGGTACAAACTCGTTTGGTAATGTTTGTTTTACATTATAGACATCTCGTGTTAAAAATGCTTATGCCAGGCACGTTGTTGTTCATTTCGAAAACTTGTGTTAGTTTTGTTTTATTTGTGTACAGATTGTAAATAGCTATATTTGTGTTAATATGTAAACAGTTTTTTGTGAAGCAGGCATTAGTATTGAAAGCGTGTAATATTGTTATGTACATTGTAAATTAGACAGCTTGGCGAACTAACTGAATATAGGCACAACTGCGTGGTTTATTATTGCAAACACACTGCGAAAACAAACTATCACTTATACGTATCATGAGCCTTTATTGTAGATAGTATCAAGTAAACTGGAGACACATCTTAGTATAAAATAGGAAAGTGAAGTCAACTTATCCCATATACCAATATATTATACATTTACCTGTTGTTGTCTGCTGTCAAAGTTTGGACGTGTCAGTTGCTGTATCCTATCATTCAATGATTTTCTGAAGAATAGTGAATACAGAATATGGTAGTACAATACATAGAACAATAATATTTGGATTGTTTCACTCGGAAAACTGGGTAATGTTTTTAAAACTAAATTTTAATAATGAAAATGTTGAACACTTAAGGGTTATATATTTTCTGATTAGTCTATAAATGATCTTTGTGAAATAAAAACAAATTCTCATAATTCGGAAATCCGTGACACGTTTTTTTTCGCATAAAGTAAACTAGCGTCGCCAAAACGTGTTCGATGTACCAATTATCTATCTTACAGGTCTGTAAGAACTAGGATTTGATTCGTTATTGGTAAGCGTCCATGAAACGTGTATTGACGTATTTTGGTGGTTTCAATAAAGTTGCATTGTTCAAAATAAAAAGCTGAAACAAAATTTGACTGATTTTTATAATATATATTTCTGGCTTTCCCGAAGGCTACAATCGAAATACAAGTCGTTAATTATTTTAACAGTAGTTTGCTTTGAGTTGAACAATTAACATAATATTAAAGCAGTGAGATTGAGTCGAATATGTATCTTGTAAAAACGAGCAGAGCAATATATTGTATATTTCGTTCTGAAATAAAAAAAGTGATCCAAAGCGTTCCTCCAACACGAGTCTTATCCACAACAGACACAGAAAATGGTACTATAGCAAGAAGTTATCTCTAAACATGTGGTATAATAAGTAACAAGACTATAAAATTTGCATAACACTCACTTTTGCCAGTGACAAACCAAAGCCACTGTTACCAGAACGAAGAGCAACACAATAGCCACGGTAGATGAAATAATCATTATAGTGATTGCTTCTGTCGACAACTCTGACGGTCCTATTACAAATTGTCGTTATAAAGTGACATATAATAGGTTTACAATAAAATATTACAAATGCATAGATTTATTTATGTTCTTTGTTTTTACTATGATAAAACTAAAAAAAAACTATGGAACAGATTTTAGTCATTGGGACCAAGCAGATCAGTTTAGTGAAATAAATAACAAGGTGAGAGAAAAAATAAACCTGTCATTGGTATTGTCACTTGCTCGGTTGGTGGTACTGTGGGTAGCGGTAGAACATCAACAATTATAGAACAGGTCCTGAATAAATAATGAAACATAACGGTATTTTGTGTTAGACATGATATGATAAGTTGCACATATTTTATGTTTGAATAATAAACTCCAAGATAATTTGATAACACTAAAATAAATCCTATTGGTTAGCGTATATCTTTTATGCTATTTTGTTCTATATAGGTAATATTTTTACAGTGTAAGAATTCGTGAACAGGAGGTTATTTGAAATTGAGCGAATTGTGAGATAATTACGTATTTTGACAGATCGTGAATATTGTCTCCCAGTAATACCAAATGGCGACAGTTCGCAATGCCGCAATCAACAAATATTAATGAGTTATCCCACACAATCAACTTTGCAAGCAGTAATTCGAACAAGCATACATATCAAATGCATCTCCAAGTACAAATGGGCCTTCAAACTACTATTTAAGAACAAAAGAAAACAACGAGATAAATGAATTGTCGAAAACAATGTGCGTTAACTCAATCTTTGAAGTGAACATATCAATATCACAACTTATCATATCTACGATAACAAGTTGTAACCTTAATCTAAATTATTACCCTTTGCTGTTTATTGATTCCGCCATAGCTATTGTAACCGTCAGGTTATAGAGAGAGATGTCTAAACTCCTCCAGATTCGTATATCGCCACTGTTTCTGTCAATTATAAATCTGTCCTGTGAAACAAAATGTGCACACAATGATGATGACGATGACGATTAATACAGTATATATAATTATGTTATGTTATGAAGAAAAAATAAACAAATCTTGCAAAGTTGTGTGGAGATATTCACTGCACAAGTATTGACAAACTTAACAATGAATATATACTCATCCGTACACTGCCAGTAATCGTATATACGAGTTCTGGTAATGGTCTTGAACTATTGTTCTCTGGGCCGAGGAACACGTCCAAATAATCACCTATTGTTGCGTTCTCACTTATAAGTACGCTGTATTCATCTAAGATAACAAAAACACATTTATTGTGGATGATAAAAATCCATTTTTTGGCTATTCACAGTTCTTGCACATTTAATCTTTTACACAACAATCGAAACTACATCGGAAGCCACCAATGGTTAGTTTAGGTTGTACAAATCGACAGTGAAAATGAATTACCTTTAGCACAAGAAGGTGTATATTCATAAATGAACACGATTGTTATCCAGGTTGATGCTAACTCCCTTTGATTTCCTGTCGATACTAAACTTTGTTTATTCCGGGCCACTACAACCAACTGAAAATTATACATCAGTGTATTAGTATTTAGTGTGAAGCACGTGACACACAGCAGAAATATTTGCAAATGAATAATGATAATTGTTTTATATAAAATAATATCCTTACGTCAATAGTAAGAGTAGATGTTCTATTCGCATCGTACAGTAACTCCTTTGTTGTAACATTTCCATCATCGTCGATATCAAAATAATCATTTGGATCAACCTTACCAATACCATTTATTTGTGCGTTTGCGAAAGAATAATAACTCTCAGTGTTCACTCCTGTATCAGAGTCATTGGCTTTGATCTGTGCCACAACGTAGCCTGGATCAGTCGTCTGTAAAGTTGAAATACAACATGGTTAGGGATTGCGATAATTTAAATAGTTCTCACAGTGCAAATATGGCTCAATGCAATCATATACATTAAATACTAACATCAACGTATAAAAACACGGTCGAAGTGAATATAGTGTTTCTCATATCAAGATATGTCAAGTAGTACGTACCTGCGGTAGAATGATACTGGCCTCTCGTGGAAGCATTGGGGGATTGTCATTGACGTCTGTCATAGTGATTGTTACATTAGTAGTAGCGGATTTGGGGTCAGGTGTAAGGTCATGTGCGACGATTATAATCACTACCATTTCAACAGATTCTCTATCAAGTTTACTCGCAACTTTGATATCTCCATCCACTGGATCGATTTCAAACAAACCTGTGAAATTATTATAAATAATGAAATCAACATTCATTACAGTGACGGATCTAGAGGGGAGGGGGCAGGGGCCATGCCCCCCAAACGGATGACGATTCGTATCATCTGGATTACGCATAGCTTCTCTGCGATTTACGGTCCGTATATTTTAAGCGTAGCTTGGACCCCCCCCCCCCAATACATTTTGCTCGATCCGCCACTGATTCATTATATATATTCATATTGGTTAATTATACACATAATAACAATCTAGTATTGGATGTTCCAATAATACGGTATCAACAATCTTACCGTCGCCTCCATCCAGTATCTCATAAACTATTTCAGCATTTGGACCCTGGTCCGATTTCTCCTCTGCCTTAACTCTCCTTGGATTCATGGTTACAATGGTACCAATGTTTGCTGCCTCAGACACGATTCCATTATACATATCAAAGTGAAATATGGGTGGGTGATTGACCTCAATAATGTCTATTTCAATCTACAAACAATTACAATAGGTCACTGCTTTTATCTATACAATTATGTTATTTAGAACATGAAATTCGATTTTTATATTTATTGTCGATTCTGCAGTATGTTTAATTGAGAGTTGTAGTTTTACTTTAATGTATTTACCGATATAATGCTGCTTAATGGATATACACCACCGTCCATGGCACGGATGTCAATGACGCAAATACCTTGTACCTCGCTGTATAATAGACGCGAAGTTTCAATATTTCCATTTGTTGAATTCATAGTAAACATATCCTGACTACAATTACCGCCACCTATGTGAAACAATGACCACAAACAAGAAGATTATAGCAGCAATTGTTATGTTACGTTATGAGATAAACTTCAAATTGTTAAAATCTACGTTTACTATTAGAGAGTAATTCAAACCAACCTATTAGATCGTACGTTATGTAACCGTTGCTCCCCAAATCCATATCAATAGCCTGTACTTGCAGCACCATACTACCGACTGCCGTATCCTTCGGTAGCACGACTGGATATGACAGATCGGTCAAGAACTCTGGCTTATTGTCGTTAATGTCCCCAATGAGAACGCTAAATGTTAATGGCTCCGATGACTTAGCGATTGTTCCTCCGTTTGTTGCAACAACAGTAAGGGTATACCGATCAACTTGTTCACGGTCAAGGTCGTTTGATATCTGAATTGATCCTGACGTTTCTGGAGATGTAAGAGAACATACAGATGTAATTGTACGATCGTAATGCATCGTTAGTGACGTCACGGCTCGCTTCTGTGACGCCGTTTTGTCCGTTATTATATGTTAATAATAGCCATTCGTAAATCTCTCAAATAGATTTTTTGGAAAGTCTTATATAAACACATAGGCGTCAATAAAGAAACACTTCGTTGATAGAGAATGTGACTAATAAATAATAGTATTTTTTCTAAAGAGAAGATCATTGAAATGCTTATGATGATTTATATACTATTTTAAAATTTAGGACATGATGCATTTGTCGACAACTAGTCAAATACTGAACATTTAATTGATTATAGAAATGCTCTTCAAAAAAGTAAAAGAAAGGCTGTCCCTGTCAAAGCAGGGGCCAATAACGAAAACAAGGCCGTGACGTCAATAGAGAATTGCGCATATAACACGCATTTAGTGACAACGTTCCCTAAAGGAAACTTTCACTTCGTCATAAGGTGAATAGCGGAATAATATGCAATATGTATGAACACCTAACCACATAGCATAGATACATAATTGTACAGTCGACTATTAACATGATTTTTATTTATGAGAGTTGTTTCTATGGCGACATATTATTTGTTCCACTAGCGCTTGCACTTGTACACATACACGAAGTCAGGCAAGACAACTTTCACATGAAGTATCAGTAACTGTTGCCTAGCAATCACAAATGTTATAATCATAAAATTGCTATGATATTTTTAGTACAAAGAATGAAAATACACACTTACCGTCAATTGTAAACATTCCACCATCGCCCTCTAACGTAAATGTCACCATGGCATTGTCACCTATGTCTTTGTCTTCCGCCATAACATACGCCACCTGACATTACGGATCATTGATTAAATATTATTACAAATAACGCAAAACATGACTCCATGGTAAGTATACCCAAAAATTAGAATAATTACAAATGTAATTAAAAGTCGGTATAAATAAATACATGAATAAACATTTAATATCGCTAAAATCTGCCTTTTTAATAATTCAGTACAAGTTAATCGTCGATATTTCAGCTACTACCCACTCACTTCTGTTCCATTAGGTGTGTGTTCTTGTACAGTGAGTGATGTCTGGGCAGCAGAAATAGTCGGTGCATTGTCGTTCTCGTCGGTAACAGGAATGACGATAGTAGTCGTAGCATTAAGTGGAGGTACACCACTGTCCGTCACCTACAATGAACCATGGAAGGTACTAATGAATGAACAAACTATATTGATTTGTACTATTATGTGTATCACGAATGATGTACGGACTGTTTTTTTACGGAAAAAATATATACGATTTCTTTAGAATACAAGTTTGTTAATAATATAACAAGTGCGTTACCATAACAACCAGTTCATATGTGTCATTTGATTCTCTATCAGCAGCCTTC